CGAAACGCTCGTTGGCTTTTACCGGACTACACGGCGTTATATCACAGAAAATAGAACTCTTCAAATAAAATACTTTTAATAATTCGAGGGCGGCCTCAACCCCACTGCGATGGACGTCTAATGAGGCTGTCAAACAGTGTTGCCAGCTTGACAGCACTTAAAAATCAGCTACTGAATTTTTGCATTATATTGATATTGCGTGTGGAGGAAATATGTTTCTCAGTTATTGAATGTACAGAAGATCAGTGCTGTTAGGAAGACGGAAATCCATACGGCTGAGCCGTTAATACCTGATCCTAGCCCTTTTCAGGTTGAAAGTGCTATTGCAAAATTGAAACGGTATAAATCGCCAGGTAGTGATCAAATTCCAGCAGAACTTATTCAAGCAGGAGGTGAAATGTTACGTTCTAAGATCCACAATCTAACTACTTCTATTTGGCATAAAGAAAAATTGGGGATCATCAGTTTGGGTTTCGACGTAACAGATCAACTACAGATTAGATCTTTTGCATTCGTCAGATATTGGAGAAAAAATGGGAGTACGATGAGACAGTACACCAGTTATTCATAGACTTCAAGAAAGCATAGATTCAGTTAGGAGGGAAGTATTGTACAATATTCTAATAGAGTTTGGGATACCCATGAAACTAGTTAGGTTGATTAAAATGTGTTAAAACGAAACGTATAGTAAAGTCTGTGTAGGTAAACATTTGTCTGATAAATTTCCTATCCACTGATTCATTCTTAAAAATTAGGAAAACGATAACGGACATTATGAGAAATTTCTGCACAAAAACGACTGGCGCCGCATGCAGCCGGCGTGACGAGGACTGGACAGCCCTGACATAAATTGTTCGTTTACTTCAGCTGTCTTAGGCACAGGTATTTTCCTGCTGCGTTGTCTAAGTGATGAAATGTCTTCGCCCTCTCAAATACTGGGATCGTGGGTTCGAATCCCACTCAAGTCATGGATATCTGCGTTTATTCTGTGTTTGTGTTATCCTTTGTGTAGGCAGCGGCCATACGACGGGCTGATCCTCCGTCCACGGAGTCTTGCCGAATGTCTACAAGATTCACAGTTTCAGAATTAATTCTGAATTGAAACAGACAAAAGAGCCTAATCCGTCTATGAATTAGAAGAAGATATTTTATTGTACATTTTTTAAACAGATTAATTTAGGTTCCTCCATCAAGGTCATAGACCACGTGTATTATCCATGATGTTATGATTGGGATCACACTTGATATGGATCGTTTTGTCATATTAATTTTAATGTTTGTATTATCGTTAATTCATGTAGTGAGGCGGAACACAGTTTGGGAACCACTGATGCAACCAGTTCGGCGCGTTCGAAACATTTGCGTGAAGATGAACAGCGCCAAAATAGAACCGCACAAGAAGCGCGTGGAGGGCCTTGACTTTCCGGTTTGTGGGAATACGTAAGCAGCCTAGAGTGACAGGACTGCCTGATCACACACTGGAAATGCCGCAATGAATACGCTAGCATGCAATTCCCGAAAACAAATGAACTTTCAATCATTATTCATGCTATTGTTTCCGAACGGTTAATACCATTTGAGGTTAGGGCTATTTCTGGAGTTCAAGTCGGAAGGAAGAGAACTGAAACCGGTAGTTGGTGTTCTAAAGTTCAACAAACGTGTCTGTTTTAGCCACCGAACCTTTTCCTTGCAGTCCCATTATTAACATTAATTTAAACAGAGTTTCTATTCGGGCGTTATGTAATGATACTCTGTGGATCAATATTATTAGGATGATTACAAGGGGGTTAGATGGGTTGCACATGTAGCACGTATGGACGCTATGAGTATTTCGTAAAAAATATTTGTTGAAGGTTATCAAGTGAAGAGGTATATGCATAAAGGCACGTCCACATTACTCGTGCTCGTGCTCGTACTCGTGTGACTCACTATGCTCGCGAGTAATTTTGACGATATGACAAGTCACGAGACAAGCAAATTTTAATTTTTTAATATTATATTTAAGCATCCTGTTGCACTCCATACGATAAATGATATAATGATAAAAACTCCGTCTCAAGTGCAAACAATATATTTTGTGTCTTTGATCTTGTTCCCCTACACTACATGTTTCGGCCTCAGACGGCCATCATCAGGTGTATAACACTCACGTCGCTGTCACACTGCACCCAGCTCAAAATTTAACATCTAAAACACTCTCCCTGTCATTATCAACTTCACTTCGTTGATAACTGTCTGGTTTGTAGATTATTTTATCTTACACACGTTAATTTTGACTTTGTTGTAATAGCACTATAATAAAATCTTTAGTTCTAATTTTAAAAACCTTTAAAATTCTTTCCTAAATTTCAAAATTTTAAAATTGTTAGGGTTATTCGCCCTATGTTTAAAGTGCTGCAGCGGCTAGTTCTTGTTACCACACTGTATAGGTGTT